TTCACACAAACAAAAAGATTTAGAGAGTTCCCCTTCTCTTTTGGCCTGGGGAAGTCAGTTTGCATTACATACAGTGTGACAGTGGAACCCCCCACCTCCCTCTTAACCTCCCCCCCCCTCTCAAATCACCCCCTGTCGGGCAGAGTAAACAAGTGGCGCTGTGTATATCCTCCATGTAATCTGGATTTAGCTCGGTGAGATCACGGCTGTTGGAGCAGAGGCCCCCTGGACGCTCAGCTGCATTGTGGGAGGTTCCCTTTCAATGCCACCTTTGTGTGTGTGTGTGTGTGTGTGTGTGTGTGTGTGTGTGTGTGTGTGTGTGTGTGTGTGTGTGTGTGTGTGTGTGTGTGTGTGTGTGTGTTGCAGATAGTCCAGTTGACAGCCCACAATAAGTCATGAGTAATCTTCCCCATGGTGAGAACCGATCTATATGTGTACTCCTGGAAACAGTCGGGGTGAAATAGTTGGAAAACCATTCTGCTGCTGGTTTCTCCGACATGCTGTCCTCACACACTCCAAATGCACTCCCAAAAATATGCAAATAAAACAACTACAATCATTTTCACTATCGTTAGTCTGCAGATTATTTTCCAGATTAATTATAAATTGTTCTCGGTCAATGATATTTTAGAAACTAGTGAAAAAAGTCCAGTGTGATTTCTTTAAATGTCTTGTTTTCTCACTCTGTAAAAAATATATAAAAGCAAAAAACAACATACCCCTTTATCCCCAACGTGTACCTCTAATTTATACCTTTCATAGATTTAACCCACTGTAAATTTCACACGCATAATGCAGTCGCAAATTCAAAATACACTATTTGCATATTTGGTCACATTTCGAAATTACGACTGGAAATGACCTTTAGGCATTGTTTGTTTTTCCACCATAATAGAGATTATTGTGCCGTAAAATGAGTAATTTCTGTGAAAGCAGCTTGTGGATGTGGTTTGACCTTCAACCTTTTGAACTAGAGATCTATATATCGTGTTAAAATAGTTTCAATATAAACTACTATTTCTTTTTAAATGCTGCTTGTCTTCATAGTGAAAGCCAGATAGTTGTTTAAAATGAACTATGGTATTTTTTTTGTTCAAGCAGGTGTTGAGCTTGCTTGGTTAAGAGGAGAGGCTCGTGATTGGCTGAGAGGACGGGGAACACTAGAAGATAAACAAAGTGAGTTAATGGGATAAAAATGGCAAGAAAAAGAAGTTGAACTCTGACTGAAGTGCGGTGACACACATCATTGAAACACATAACAAATACAAACGTCTCACATGCTGCAGAACGTCCTTTTTTAGATGTTAGTCTTAAATAAGAGCAGGTATTATTCCTGCAGCTCACATTCCTGCTTTGTGTTTTGTGCACAGCGTGGCAAACGGTCAAATGTAGCATGTTGTTAAAATCCAAAGAGATGGGACCATAGCCTCTACAGTAACTCAGGAGGAGAGTTAAAGACTTGAAGGACCCCCCCCACCCCCACCCTCTCTCCTCTCTTTATGGAGGCAGCAGCTGAGAAGCCATTGCTCGTCACAGCGTAGTGATCTAAGAAGCTCTTTTTAGATATTCTCTGTGTGGAAGCACCGGGCTCTTTTACTGCCTTTTTGCACACGCTTGTCTGTGTGTGTGCATGGGTGCATTTCATCGTATGTTAAGTCTCTGTAGCTATGATTGGTTTTTCCTGTAAAACCTTTTGACGGTTATTTGGACGGGGAGTTGTTAGTCGACACACTTTGTATGAAAAACCCCTATTTAAAATCTTGTGTGTACCAACAAGTGCTCATTATCAATAGCTGTAATTGGACAGCGCTCATAGTTTCCTTCACAAAATATACACAAGACTGGCAACCCCCTCTCGTCTTTGTTTGAATGACAGGTGTTTAAACTTTTATTTTGAAAGGGACCCCACTTTATGTGCTCCCGTTTGTCTTATAATGTTAACAGCTGAGGGAAAAACTAACTTTTTACTGAGGATTATGTTCAAGGTCACACTGGCCAATAGATTTATTCAACAAAGAAAGCAGATGTTTTTTCTTAAGTAGCCTGAAAGTAGGAAGTATAGTAAATAATACACTCAATATTGACAGTTTTCTACAAGTCTGCTTTATCTTTTAGGCTATAAGCAATATTATTCTTTAACATCCTTTGTACTTATAGCGTCTCATTCTACAAACAGACCCTTTTATAAGTGTCAGATTATTTTTGCATATTGTATTTAAGATTTTACAACTGGTGCTGGTTGAGGTGGAACTACTTTCTGTAACGTTGTGTAGTTTAACCTGTTACAATGCGTTGTGTGTGTGTGTGTGTGTGTGTGTGTGTGTGTGTGTGTGTGTGTGTGTGTGTGTGTGTGTGTGTGTGTGTGTGTGTGTGTGTGTGTGTGTGTGGTGTGTGGGTGTGTGGGTGTGTGTGTGTGTCCTCGCTCACTTCTCTTCTCAGTCTCTGCTCAGTTAGTGGATATTATATAACGTTGTTCTCGGTTGAAGCTGATCATTCTGGGTTTCGTGCGTGTGTGCTACCTGCTCTGAATCCAACTGTCTCGTCTTTAAGCGGCTGAGATTTCCAGTGTGTATTCTCCTTTTATTGCTTTCATTTGCATATAAATTAAATCCATATTGTGCCTGCGAGGCAGACTATGCTAACTATGCAAACGATCCCTGGCTTTTCTTTGTTTTACAGATAAACCCTCGGCTTCCTAAATGACAAGGTGGGAGGGGGAGAGAGAAATCCTATCGCTGTTTCATAATTGTATGAATTTTAAATACATTGTCATAGGATCCTCTTCCGCATTCGCAGCAGGGAATGAATCTATCATTACAATAGTGGAGCTGCAGGGTTAGCTGACCGTGAAGAGCTGCACCTCTGTTCACACATGCAGCCCAGATGGCCTCGGAGAAACACATTAGGCCTGTGTGTGTTTTATAAACATTATATCAGCCTCTTATTTAATTCAGGGGGACAAAATGTGCTCTGGAATAACTTTCCATGTCTCTTTAATGTGTGAAAAGGACGTTTTGTGGTGCAAATGATAAACTAGACTATTGTTTCCTGCTGCGTAATGTAACACATGTCCCAAAAATATCATGTTTACATTAAATTAGATCTTGAAATCAAGTCCTATGAATATTCATTCACGCATTTTAGTGACGTTAAGTTATTCCTAATATTGCTGATGCCCCCCAGGACCCCTGGAGGTTTCCTCTTCTGCAGAGATGCTGCAGGGCTGACTATATGAAGCTTTTACCTGCACTAAAGCATCGCTCCAACACTGTCTGCTGCTCGGAATAAACGTTTAGAGTTTTAACATAATAACCAACAATAATATGATGTTGCTTTGACTGGTTTTCAAGCCTTTGCCCTCACATTTAATTCCATGTGTTCGTTAAGTGTTGCCTGCTACAGCAGTCTTTATAAATTGGCTTATTAAATATATAAATCTGATTGTTTCATTCAAAGATGAAACGTTAATTAGATCTGAAATAACCTGCCTATATACACTAACAGCGAGTCCCTGGTCGTCTTTATTGAAATCAATTATTATCACGCTATGCTGTGCTTATTAAATCTGTGCTCTATAGGCTGAACACAAACGCAGCGCCGCTTGAAATAATTAAAAATCGTGAGACGCGGAAGGCCGTGAACTCCCATCCACTGCAGAGGCTTGTTAGCTCTTAATTAAATAATCTGAGATCAGTTGTATATAAAAGGCTTTAAGCGACGACGCAACAAACACAAATCATCGGTCACAAACTCGCTCCTGAAGCCATTCACTTATTCATTAAATCAACATTAAGTGCAAGGTGGGATCTCTCTTGTGGCGTGTGGGGGAAATAATATGCATTGTGCTATAATGGAAAACAACTCGGCACATATAATATATTTTGACGTGAATCCTGACGTCACAGGCCGTTTTAAACTCGACAAATGGGGGGACGATAGCACCCAAAGTGTAAATATTGGTCAGTTAAAGTGAGGGCAAATTATAATTATAGGGTAAATGATAAAAACAAGAAAGAAATGAATAAAAAAATAATTTAAAAGGGGGAATGAATGTGCCTATACTCATGGCTCTTTGAGTGTTGTTACTAATATAAATGCTTTGTTAAACATATTTTCATGAAAGCAGTAATTATCCAGTGTTGCCTCATTTAGTGAACATCAGATTGAGATGTACGACACAAATTATCGAGAATATGGGAAGTAAAATGTTTTTTTACACCTCTATAATGTGACCACCTCCCCTTAATTAAAACAGGATCCCCCTCCTCGTGCTGAAATAAGCAACAACCGCTTTGTAGTTCAAAAAACGCTCACATTATGATATGTAGAGACCCTCAACTTTGTCTACTATTGCTGACCACACACACACACACACACACACACACACACACACACACACACACACACACACACACACACACACACACACACACCTCAACCTGAGGTCACTTGAGGCCGAGTTTCTCCCTAAAGCTGAAACACACTGACATTAATGTATTTAATGAATTTAAACTGTGTGTGTGTGTGTGTGTGTGTGTGTGTGTGTGTGTGTGTGTGTGTGTGTGTGTGTGTGTGTGTGTGTGTGATTTAAAGGCATGGTTATTGGAGAAAAAAATTAACAGCTATCGTTCAAAATTGTTTCTAATTTATTTAAATGTACCCATTGACAAATTACCAGTCTGCCCTTTATGTTGAATTGTATATATTTTTGCTTTTTTTCTGTGGAAACGAATGGAAGAAATAAAAATGTAGTCCCAATCTACCGTTCTTTTTCTTTATTTCAGACTACATGTGAACATATTAAAATCTTTGGCTTGTTTTGAGTGCGGACTGGTGTGTTGAAGGGGAATGTGGCACAATAACCTAAAGATCCAACGACATGAACAAACGACCCGGATGATGAGAGGTGAAATAATTAAATATACTGTATACAACATGATAACGTGTGTGGCTATATAAACTTTAATAACGATTTATATAATTATGTCCATATACTGTTACCATAAACAGATTTTTTTTTTTTTTTAAATAGCGTCTCCTCCACTGTTTCATTATCTCCAAAAGAGTCAAATGGGGGGGGGGAATGTCTCGTCACTCGCTCTCCTCCCGCTCCTCCTGCACGGTGGTGGTCGAATGGTTGTAAAGTCCTTGGGCCATGAGCTGCAGAGCCAAGCCGTTCTTGTACCCCGTGGCCTTTTTAATCTTGGCCCTCTTATTCTGGAACCAGATTTTGATTTGGGACTCGTTGAGGTTGAGTTCCTGCGCCAGCGCCTGTCTCCGCTGCTCCGTGATGTACCGGTTGGTCTGAAACTCGGTTTTCAGTCTCTGCAGCTGCTCGGCCGTGAACGCCGTGCGAGGCCGCTTGTCCTCCTTCGGGCTGCTCTTCTTCTTTTTCAGTTTCCGTGTCCTCGGGCCTGATGTGGAAACAACAATGGGAATAACAATTTATTCTACTGGCTGGTGCACACCTATTCATCTGATTGGATGTCACACATTTAGCCTGTATTACAAGGAGAAGCAGCATTTTAAATTCACTACACTGAAGAAACTGGAACATTGACTTTAATTAATTGTAGCATGTCAACAGATCTCACATTTTTAGGTTGGTTGAAAGCAATAATATTAACTTTAAATAAACAAATACTAGGTTTAGCTTAATATAATGACCTTACATAATACAGTTATGTGAAATCTGTTGACATAATACATTTAATTAAAGTACATTTTCAGTGTATACAGCATTTCATTTGACATATATATTTCACTTTTCCTGCATTAATTACACACTAAAGTCTTTCACCATTCTCTTGCACTTTTGTATTTCTACTCTCTTTTCTCCTCGCACTATTTTCTTTTAGTTGTATGTCAAATAGACATCATGTTGCATGTTGGAGAATCCTGGGACTGTCATTACATATCTACTCTGTAGCTGTCCATATGACAATTAAGCCTTTGGATCTTTACCATCAACATGTCTGCGTATCAACGGCTGTTTTAGACCAATTGTACTGCAGTTATTAAATAAGAAGGGCACATTTAATGCTGGACAAGCGAGACAAAGAGAGTGTTTTAAGATTTAAACTTTTTTAGTTCAGTGTAAAGTCATAGCGCAAAAGAAAACATAAAATACCATTATTTTTGTTTTAATAACAGAATGTGTGTCAATTACTTAGTTATAATTGTAGTTACTTACTTAACAATTAACCTAAATGCTGTATAAATACATTATTTATGCAGCCAAATGTAGTTTTTATTTGTATTTCTTAATATTTTATAGTAGAATAATTTGTTTCAGTAACTTCAATTTATTTAATTACATTACTGAAGAAAAAAAAACATCCCTGTTATCTTAGGCCCAGGTTTAGACACAGTATTGGCTGCAACATTTCCACAAAATGTATTATCATAGATGTGTTATTTTGGAGGGGGGGCCACAGGGGGGTCCAAGTGTTACAGAGGGCACTGCCCCCTTGTTGCCCCCCCATAGAAACGCCCATGCTGCTTATATCGACTTAGCGTCTGCTGATGAGCGATGATCGTGTTATTATCTGCTCCCTATCATCAAATGTAGGTCACAGTCTCCTGCATGCTCTCTAGTTTCGATACAATCTTTATTTCACAGCCATTTGATGACTCCTCACAACGATGTGCAGTTAGTATTTAATTTGGCATCGTCCTAACAAAAGGATTTAAGCTAATTATAAATGCATTTAACGTGAAAACACACCGATAATTTAACGACATGTCATGGTAGGGATATTAACACAGTATCTTTTTTAAAAGGGTGAAATCAAAGCTTTAATAGGACTAATTAAATACGATAAACACACTCGTATATGGCTCCTAACTAACAGTACAAGAGAACAACAGTTATCCTATTTAATTATGAATGTTAAATCAGCTTTATTATTATAATGTATTGTCTTTTTCCTCCACACCAGTTGAGGTCTCATTGAAATTGTAAAGCCCTGCAATACGCGTAATAATTAATTTAACCTGAGTAGGCCTCTTTAGGTTAAGCGTGTGTTCTTGACTATAATGTGGTTTATGGTGATTAATAAACGAGAATAACAAGGCCTTCATATATTCCACTACAATGGAGTAATGTCGAAATTAATACGAGATCAGCACATTTCTTTTAGGGTTATTGGGTTCGTTGTGGAGATAAATAATCCAACAGGAAAAGATCGCATGAAAGAAACGTTTCTCTAAAAGTTGGATTAAAATATGTTTCGCGTTTCTGTTATTTTAGATCTTTTGTGTGGTCTGATTCAGCCTGACTTTCCTCTCCAAAACAACAGAAACGATTAGTCCTGCTGCTCCAAATCAGCTCTGCTTTCTGGGCAAAAACTCCCTCTTTCCATTAATGCTATCCATCCTGTAGGATCAGGGTTCTTCACCACAGCGATGTTCTGCTGCATGGAGTAAAGCTGAAGGAATGTGACGGGAGCGATGCACACGAGGATGTGCGCAAAGTAATAACATATAGAGCTGTAATGTAGCTCTCTATAACGGGATTTAAATACGCTGCAGTGGTATAAATTGATTATTTCATTTAATGCAAGAGCCACACGTTAAAGAGGACTCAAGGAAAGCATAACTAATATTCGCTGTGATCGCTTAGTGCTAGATAGAAAATGAGGAAACGTAAGGACCTTTGACCTTCATCCCTCACTTTAATAGCCTATACAAATCTCATTAAAATATGATCACCATCACAAGCTGGGTAATATTAAAATGTCAACAAAAAAATGTAGTTTAAACAACATGCATATTTCATGATTCGTTATAAACGACGAAGTTATTATATTTAAAAAATAACCATCGTTCTGTTTCCTTTTAGCGTTAATGGTTTTTATTTATCAACGCTTCCTTCATATTTAAATTACAAACATCCTTTCTACCTTTCCTTAAATAGTGTACAAACATGTCCCGTTTTGTCGTCACACACTTTAAAACGAATGTATTGAAATTGAAATTGCCTGAAGACGTTGAACGCATCAACATATTTCTGCTTTGGTTACGAGATGCATCAATGTTATAAAACCCCAATTGTTTTTTTGGTACACATTCACTGCTTTCTTTCTCAAATATAGCAAAACAATGGCAGATATTGTGACCAACTCCACCAGAACATAATATATTTAGTGTTAAACCCCCCGTAAAACCGGAACAGTGATCTTCGTAAACACTACATTTGATAATAAGCTGTCTGTGATCATATATGTGGGTCAAAATCAAATCTCTACAATAAAATGTCTCTTGTATTTCGGAATAGATATTGTAGACTGGGGCCGTAACGTTGATTTGTAGCCTTTTTAAAAGTGTTAGGAATATAATATGTGTCTAATATTACCGTAAATGACTGATAAATAATAACACAGGTGCTGTTTTTGAGCCATGTTGTTCTTTTCGTCTGCAAAACTCACATTTTAATTCATGAAATAAACAAACGGGGTTTACTTAAATCCTCCACAATGAGTTACGTTACATTAATGTGCGGACCAAGAGGGAGGTCATCGTTGTTATTGTTTGCATCAAAAGAATGTGCACGAGCCATAGATGCTTATTATAACTTGCATTACAATCACACATTTAATTGCATTGGACATCAGCCCATTTTTCGAGCTTGTTTATTTTACAAGCAGTTTATAAATAGCATGTAACAAATATGAGACATTATCCCAATACTTTAATATTTCAGTGCGTAAACACGTCTCTGTGTGCACGTTGAGTGTGCGTGTTCTGATTGGGTGAGTTAAAGCCACGCTAAGAAGCAATATACACAACAAATACCTATTGTAAGCTCATTTTAATATCAATAAAAGTTAAACATCATTGTGGAGGAAGCCGAAGTGCCCCAGACAAAGTTCCCAGGCCTAACATCCCATAATGTACATTAATATGTCTGTGCGTAAATATGTCTTTGTTCGAGTGTGTGAGTACTGGAAATGATTAAGGTGGTGTTTTTGTAATGGGCTTGTTTGGATATTTTAATCTACAAAATCACCTTTATTTTGTTTTTTATATTTTATAAATTGGCTCTTTTTGTTTATAAAAATATCGGTTCTGAAATGTACATAATGAGTACTTTTACTTTTGGTACTTTAAGTATATTTTGATGCCAATACTTTTGTACTTTTACTTGAGTAACATTGTGAATGCAGGACTTTTACTGTTACAGAGTATTCCTACACTCTCGTACTTCTACTTTTACTGTAGTACAATATCTGAGTACTTTTTCCACCTCTGGCATAATTACGCACACATACGCCAAATAAAATATCGATGTACCAATTTTAAGTTCATTTTTACTCCAATAACAGTTTAACAACACTGTGTAGGAAGCCTCGGTGACCCAGACACAGTTCCCCAGCCCTCACGCACCCCCGGCGGTGTGATTCGGGTACTATGAGCGCCTTACCAGATGAGGGCCGATCCGAGTAGCGCGTGCAGTAAACCCACGCGGGCCACAGCAACCCCTGGCTGTCTTTCGTCTTGGCCGGAGAGCCTCCATTGCTGTCTGCGTACCGTCCGGTGCCAGTGCCGGTGCCCGCCGCTTCGCCCTGCTTATTGGACTGCTTGGACGAGGGCGAGGAGGAAGGGGATGAAGAGGAAGGTGACGAAGAGGAGGTGCTGTCGCTGCTAGAGTCCAGGCAGAGGCTCCCGGTGTGCGGCCTCGCTGTCAGCGGGTTCACGTTTTCCCGTCCCGGCGTCTGGCTCCGGTAGCTCGGCTCCTTCCTGCAGCCGAAGTCCGGTCTCAGGATGTTGTCTATGAAAAAGTTCGTGGTTCTGTGGTTCTGTTGTGCAGCTTGGTGCGGTAAAATCACGGGAGGGGAGGGGAGGTTCGGCGACAGGGACATGCTCTCCTCCTCGGTGGAGTCCCGGCTGCTACTGCCGGGCTCCTTCTGCTCCTCCATGCCTGGTGACGGGGAGAAATCTCGGCTTCAAAAATGCCAAACTCCACTTGTTGCGCCCGCCCCCCCTTCCGTATCCAATTTAGAAGCGCTGCATGAAGCCTCTAGAATAAAACACCTGTTTTATATTTCACCTACAAAAACATGTCTCCTGAAAAGCCTTCCGAGGGAAAGGAGCAGCTCCACGTTAGAACCAGTCCGGTGTCCGGTGCTGCGTAATATCAGTGTGTGCGCTTCCCAAACTCTCCTGAATCCGTTATCTCCCACTCGAGTGTTTTTTCCTTTCTCTTACACCCAGACGGAAGCACATGCGTGCAGAGGACCAATCAGGAGCCAGGATCTTCCCTGTCACTATTAAGGAGGGCCAATTAGATTAGAGTTCGGACAGCGTACACATACTGTAAAGACCATAGAGAAAACAAAACCAACATCCAGCATTATACATGTCACACAGGAAGACATTAGGAGGCTTTTATTCTTAAATCATGTGTTTTAAAAAGTATTTTCACACATAGGTGGAAGAAGTACGTAGGAATACTTCAGTGTGATACTCGGATACAAAGTCCTGTATTCATAATAAGTAAAAAAGTATTAGCATTAAGAGGACTTTAAGTACCAAAAGTAAAAGTACTCGTTATGCAAAATAGTCATTTTAAGCACCAGATATGTTTAAATTATTTTATGTTGAGTGAGATGAATTGATAACAATATTATATCATCAAAATTAATGATGATTACAATGGTTAGTTTGGGCTAACTTACCCCCTTGTTCATTGTTTTTTATAGGCATATCTTTCTTAAACAAGGCAGTTTATTACATTACATTAAGCTGTCGTTTCTCTACAATAAGTGCAATAAACCATGAAGATTCAAACTCAAAACAGAAATAAAAATGCAGGTGTAATTGCTTCAAACAAGCCAAACCACTAAAGAGCTGGTGCATTAATTTCTAAGGAGCTAAACCCTTTAATATTTATTTTTGTGTTAGGTCTAATGGCCAAGATGCAGGAGAAATAGCGTAATTAGCGTAAAATATCACTAAACTAAGGTAAATATTTGCAAAATGCGAAGATTTTAGTTAAATATAATACTCTATTAATAATGTGCTCTATTTGTATTGAAGCTAAAAGTCTCTAAAAATGTATATTTGGTCATTTTCACTCGCAGTTTTTTTTCACTTTCTCACATAAATGACCTGTTTCTCTCGTCTCTACCGTGGGACGAATTTACGCCATATGTATTATTTAAACACCACATGTTAGACAACCGAGCTTTTGGCAGAAGAACAAAATAGGCCTATTCTTTTTTTTAGTATCCACTATTTAAAAAATGACGTTTTTAGAAACACAATGAGGTGTGGAAAGCGATTGTAGTTTTCTAAAATCGCACCAATAAGACTACAATTGCCGGCAGGCTTTAATTGGCGATTTGAAATAATAATATGAATAATGAGTGGGGACGTGTTGATGTGTAACACAGTGAAATCTTTATCCCATGCACTGCAGGCTGAAGTGGGACGCCATGGCTACTTAATTAAATTCCAATTAGGACAGTATCACTGCGCTGTTTATCCGCAGCGCATTGTGGGTAAATGAGCTCTCAGTCTGCTCTTATCTGGCCCGCAAAGAGAGGCTCGTGCAGAAGATAATTTATAGCTTTTAATTAGTCTTCATGCCTGAATACAAGCCGAGTCAAAAGCCTGTCACCGGCCCCTGGCAGGGCCCTTAATCAAAGTGAAGCAGGGGCCACGTAATTTCCAAGGTGCTGATAAAGCTTGTTGAATAATAGCGAGGGCCCTCCGAGACACCATTTACAGAAATGGCTTTATTGACGGCTTAACGTCGGTAATTCATTTCGCCTTTCATGTACCGGGAGCCGGATTTGTCGCCGTAATGGGATGATAAATGACGGATCCAGCCCGGTGTATTGAGTAGCCTATATACTGCCACACACACACACACACACACACACACACACACACACACACACACACACACACACACACACACACACACACACACACACACTATTGTTGAAAAGCTGTCTGAAGTAAAGGCACATGTGCTTTTATAAGAAGAAAGTAATTTTTCAACGTTTTTAAACATAGTTATTCGCTTAAAGAATTAGATGCCAAATCCAAATTCCAAAGTAAATCTGTGTTTACAGACCACTGCTCAACATTTAATTTATTATCTTTATCTTTTGTTTTCATTCTGGCCTTTAAAAGTATAGCTTGACATGTAATGTAGGTTTTTGAAACAGTCTTGTAAACTATTTTGCTTGAAGTTAATGTTTTTCATTAAAGAAAGGCATTGAGTTTGATATTTAAAATCCGAAATATTTAGTATAGTCTTTTTAAATCCTAGAGTCAGGTATACAAATAAAAACATGCTGTGTAGAGACAGACTTTTTAATTACTTAGTGGGTCTAATTAAATTCTAACGTCCTGTTAAACATATTGAAACTGAACCATAGCTTTTTTTAATCGTGCAAAATTGAATCAAATATTTGTCCTTCAAATCTAACAGAATAAATGATCAAAAAGTCTGCATTTATAGTCAACAGTGGTTATCTGCACACATATGAAAATGAAGATTCTCACCTTCAATTCTAATTCTCTTATTGGCTCAACTCAACACAGCTTCTGTCTTTAATGTGATCTTGTTTGTGCTAAAAAAAACAAAAAACTTATGTTCACATTGTCAGATAGTGTTTCAGATGAGAGAATAAGGTGTGAGGAAAGTGGGAAAAATCTCAAAGTGCTGCAGCTGCTTGCTTGTGCTGCCACCTAGTGGAGGAAGATGGTAAATAGTGTTTCTTTCCGGTACTTGAGAATATTTTTTTTTTTTAAGAGGTTGTAAACTTTTGCACATTGTGTTTTCAGCCAGTGCGTGATCTAGAAACTTGTTTTATCATCATTTGGCAGATGGGATTATTGCCTGGTTTTGCATGCACACAACTTTTAATGTGTTTGTTTCCATAAAAGTTTCCATAAATACGCATAAATAATCAAAGTAGTGCACAGAGGCTTGATTCTCACCCGTCACTATTCATTTTGGTGGGGAAACTTGCATTGGATGAGATGATGAATGCAGAGGAAGTCTATTTACGGGTTTTTTCGGGTGTGTGATCCTTGTGGTTCACATCTGGAAACCCTGAGAGTAAAAAACAAACGTAAAGCTTTGGTGACATCTAGTGACTGTGATGTGTAAGTGGTCAAAGCATTATTGACATATTTCTGTTCAGGGATACGCACCTGGCTTTGCATGTGGGGCACTTTTGCAGAAAGACAGTCGGCCAGGGTTCACTTAATAAACAAACATTAACAACAATGACCAGATGAACATGAACTGCTCCTACTTGGGGCTGAATGAGTTGCATATAAAGCTCTTATAGTGTGAAATACACATTTATATATTCAGAATCTTCTTCATCTATGCAGCTTCGCCTCTCTTCAGGAAATCTAGGATTTGAGGGCTTTGGAGGATTTCCATGTTTTTTCATTAACATTCCCCAAGTGTTTTTCAATCCTTGTTTATGCATATACATTAAAAGTGTAAAGAAGACATTGTAATGAAATGTCAATATCATATATTCCCAATATGCATACACACAACCAAAGACATTACATATTAATTTAGCAAAAACATAAATGTGTTTTCGATCATTTTAATACGTTTTCCAATTAGAGCACATGTGTCAAACTCAAGGCCCGGGGGCCAAATCAGGCCCTTGGTGGATTTAATTTCGGCCCGCAGGATAATTTCTAATTACTATTAGATCTGGCCCTCCGGTATATTGCACGCACACCTTCACTCCATCCTGAGGGTCTCCTCAGCTCAGAGCCTGAGCCCAAACATTGATGACCTTGCACCCAAGATGAGATGCCAAGTATCTGAACTAGCATCACAGAGCAGCACACTGAGTTTAATGGATGTTTCCTTCTGCACTTTCTCTCTCACGACAACAGGGCATGTTTGGTTTGTTCTTTGAGGGAAATAGTTTTCTTGAAGCTGTTGTTGGCCTGTGGAGAAATGTAATCCTAAGAAATGACTCTGGAAAAGCTGCAGATAGAGCCATAAGAAATGAATGCAACTGATTATTTAATGTTTAATGTTGTTTTTATCGGCAATCATTTAAGCTTTGTTAGTTCCAGGTTTAATATGTGCAATAAGTTCAATTCAATAAGTTCTAAAATAAACATTGAACCAGTCCGGCCCTCGACTAATACCCTTTTTTTTTTTTGCCCCACTGTGTATTTGAGTTTGACACTCCTGAATTAGATCAAAAATTAATTAATTGCAATACTGAGCTTGTCCACTAGGTGTCATACTACCACTGGAAAAAATAAGCTGTTGGTTCAAAAGTGTTAAAAAGTGAAAATGGTCAAATGTATAAATCCTCTTTTTTACAGCACTGAGACTTTTTTAGACAGGGAAACTTAATTTCTTCAAGAAAACACAATAAAATCCCCGGAAAATGATACAATTTTTATTCATGAATTAGAGAAAACCCATTTGTTTAAAATTATTTTGGTCACTTTTTACACATGTCATGT